CATAGCTACATCATAACAAAAAGGAAAATAAAAGAAGAAAGTGAATGATTCATGCATGGGATCTATTTAATTTCGCTTTTAATGTGATCTTCATCATTCTTTCACTTCAAAGGCCTTCAAAAGAATTACATATGATTTTGTCTGTGCAGCATTTATTTCAAATCATTAGCTAGAAACGGGATTTGAAGTCAGCCTAACGGAAGCGAAAGTCATTTAATCCAGATATATATTACTTCGACAGAGTGAATACTATCGTATATGAGTCTGACAGACACATATAATAATATCTCTAATGTTTAGCTACTCACTATTCACTGGTGAATAAGGTGAAGTTACTCACTCTTATATAATCCAGTAATAAAATAGCACATCACATTTAATAATAAAATAATTCACACTTAAAAATATTATATACGATTTTGTTCAACGATTAATTTAAAAAAGTAAAAAAATGTGTGAATTATTTTATTATTAAAAATAATATATTATTTTATTATTAGATCATATAAAAGTAAGTAATTCCACCTTATTCATCGGTGAATAATTAAGCATCATCTTAATAATATATCTCAAGCTGTTAAATTATGGTCAAATAAAAAAAGTTTTTATCCAATGAAATTACTACTATCCGTTGACCTAGAAGTGACTGAACAGGATTTTCTGGTTACAAATATATATATATATATATATATATATATATATCTTGTTATGACTGTATACCATGGGTGTGTGAAGCCGCCTGGAGGACCCTACAATTTTATTTTTTATTTTTTGTAGAAGATATTTCACAATTTTATATGTTCATGGTCCTGGTCGACATGGAACCGACTCATGGTATGGAAGGACGCAGCAGCCATCACATCATGTTTGAAATATCTTCTTAGCAGCTTTTGATCTTTTGTACAACCACTCGTTTATTTTAGCCGCCTGTGCATTGTCTCCTTCTCTTTGGGACCACAAAAACTAAAATTGTGATTGAGAAGTGACCTGATCAAGTGTGTTTTTTTTTTAGTTAAAAAGTGACCTGATCAAGTTGCCCTCCTGTTTTTTATTTTTTTTTGTTCAAATTTAATAATATCATTGTGTTAATAAGCCTTGTATTTTTAAATTTAAAATTCAAGTTTGAGATCGGTTATAGAATTGAAGTGTTGTTCATACTCGATAACTTAAAGTCTACAAAAAAATAAGAACAACACCTTAAGAAAATGAGTTAGAAGGTTATGACACTTGCATACAAAGTATGTTTTTCAAAACACAAGTTGTCAAAAAATTTCTAAATATTTAAATCTTCAAGTTGAAGTCTGGTCAACTTGAACCGGCTCAAGGTAGCTGAATTGTATGGTTCAAGATGCATAGTTTCTTTTTTCTTAAAACAAAATCAATACTGACCAACTTGAACCAGTTTAAGGTCTTTCAAGTGTTTCTGCAGATTAAGGTAACTTGTTTCCTACTCTATTTTAACTTCGTATTTGGTATAGATTTGTTTCAAAAAATTTGTGCACGAATTTAACTTACTTTCCAAGTACAACTAGGTTTGAAATTCTATATAAACATATTTTCTCATCTAGGTTTGTGTGGCCTTTTGCATTAAACTTGTGATTTCTTTTAAAAATATTTTTGTGAGAATTTTTAAGAGCATACACACTATATACACCCGAGTGAATTTAGAGTGTTATTCAAATTCTGATCGTGTTTAAGTCTATTGAAGATTGCATCTATAATGATGAGAGAAAACAAATCTAGTTCTTTTACATCAAATTCAGATTCAAATAAGAAAAATTTCATATTACACTTTGAAGGGATCAAGGCACTTGCGGAGTATTGTTGATCTACTATTATCATTTTACAAGGTTTAAGGTATAAGTATAGTCGAGAACTTTTGGATGGGAAGTCACAAAATCAAAGACATTCAACAAATTAAGTCTTGGTAGAGTAAAGGGGTTTGAATTTGCGTCAAAGTTCGATATACTTTGCTTCATACATAGTGGATCTTTTTACACCTGGGAAAACCCACAAAATCTTGAGTTTTTCCAATTGGTTTTCTCGCTAAAATCTGATGTCATTCTAAACTTTACTTGTTATTATTTTGCATGTGATTGTTTAATTAATCGGTAATTTTAGTAAAATTACTTGAATAAAGAAACAAGTGATTAAATTATCTCTAGATAAAAACTTAAACTTTCCACAATATATTCCGCTGCACAACTCACAATTGGTATCAAAGCCAATCTCTACACATTGAGTTGATCCTAGTGGGAAGTTTTTGCTTATTTTCAAAAATTATTTCATCATGTCTTATGTTTTGAAAAAGGATGGATCTTATCAACGTGGTCCTTTTTTGAGGGAGACAATTATAGTTTTTGGAAATAAAAAATAAGATCTTATTTGCCAAATTCAAGAGGTAAAGTCTGGGCTATTTGTGAGATAGGCTATATACCTCCGACTGAGGAAAAGACTGTGGACGGTAAGTGAACATGCAAGAAAACGCTCTTCTATATAAGGAAAGAATTTTCCCACACTCCAAACAATCTGTTTTCCGTTTCTCTCTAACTTCTATTTATAGAAGTTTACATTTTGCCTTATTCCTTTTTCTTGGTTCCCAAGGTGTGAGCTGATGGTCCAAATACTACCTTCTGGGCTTGTTGAACTGAGGTTCCTCCTATTGTGCATGTGGCTAGGTTAGGATACGGCCCAAAAACTTCTTCAACGGGATGGATTAAGCATTCCATGGCTTGGCAACTTGTCTTCCGGCTAACGTCTTCAGCATGTATGCCCCCTTTCCTATAACCTCCGTAACCTTGTAAGGCCCCTCCTATGGGGGCTTCATTTTTGGGACGATACCCACTACTCTTTTCAGCACTAGCTCCTCAATGCCGAAGTCCCTGTGTCTCACCTTCTTGTTGTGACTGTTCGCTAGTGTTTGCTGGTACAAAGCAAGCCTAATTGCAGCCAAATCCCTCTTTTCTTCTAGCAAATCAAGGTTAAGCTTTAGCATTTTGTCGTTCTCTTCTTCATTCCACGTCAGGCTCCTTGTAGTTGGTGCCGCTTGCTCGGTCGATATCATAGCCTCCGTGCCATAAGTGCAATCTTCATCAACATATACATATTTGTTATTTGGGTTTAGTTGAATATCGGAATAGTGCTACCGTTTATCTTCTGTTTGAACACGACAAAGACTTCAACCATCTGCATGAAGCGATTACGCACCCTCAAAACCTCGATAAAACTATTACTATAGTTTTGTTCCAACAACTCAAACACCTAGAAGATCAATTCTCCTATTTAATTACGCGCCTCTAAGCCCATTCATGGCATACCTATATATGCAAATCAGCCAATTACATTTCTAGCTTATGATCAACCACACATGTAAATGCACAAATATATATATATATATATATATATATATATATATATATATATATATGCAAATTAGATCAGACTTTGTACAAATTAATTAGGTCACAACTAGGCTTGCAAATGAATAACAATAATATTTAAAATAATAGTAAGTTATATTAGTAATATAAGTAAGAAAAACTACCCAACTTTGCATTTAGGATCCTCAAATTACAATTTAAGAAGAAAAGTTAAAAGCTTTTTTCATTTTCATATGAGAATTAAGTCAAAGTTCAATGTACAAAGATGATAAATTTGTCTCTGAGGATTTTTATTTTTTATATTTAAAGAAGAAAATAATAATAATAAAATCTTTTGGGGTTGGAGGGCCATGCGAGGCCAATTATTTTTTCAAAATTTGGCCCGGCCGGCCATGACCCGACCGAGCCGTGGGCTGTGGGATTTCTGAGGGCCCCTGAGGTGGTGGTCTAAAAACACTATAATTGTAACTTAGTCGTGTGATCCTCCACAGAGTAAGGTTAGGTGTCTATATGAAAAAAATTCTAGAATAAGATACAAATCAGGTGAGAATTTTTGGAATATTTGTTGGTAGCCTTGTAATCTTAAAAAATTGATGTAAGCGACAAGAAACGGCGTCACAAGGAATTCACATAGAATTCTTATAAACATTTTTGACGAAATTGATTGAATATCTTCTGCTATCGCCCTATGTTTGTTCCTCCCTCCATGGAGTGAGTTTGTAAATTCTTCTTCATTAATACACTTACCTTACCTTACCCCCAAAAAAAAAAAAAAAAAAAAAAAAAAAAAAAAAAAAAAAACTATTTCTCTATATACACAAATTTAAATTAGTACATGCATACATAAAAAAGTGAAGTATGTCAACCGATCAAAATTTGATCTGAATTCGATTTAAATTTGATCCAATAAGTCCGATATGAATTGAAACTTTAAACTAATAATTCGTTAACCATTCGAATCTGAAAATTCGTTCACTAAACAAATCAGATATAAATTTTAGTTAATTCAACTTCACATAATATATTATATAATAATTTAAACTTATATTATCCAATGATATATAGTATTTACATATTATCAAAACGTTATATTATTATTTTCTACCTTCTCTTCCCCCCTATTTTCTCTTATTTTGTTTTTTAGGAAGAGAAAAAATATATATATTTTTTCCATATTCTATTTGTCTTGGGTTTTCTCTCCCTTATATTATAATCATTGTTTGCCCTTCTCTTTTAACATTAATTTCTTTTATTAAAATTTTTAATTAAAAAAAATGAACTCTAAACGGATTATATATTAAATTAATAATAAATCCAATATAAATTCAATCATGAACTATATATTAGATTATAGGATCAGATCGATATATATATAGCCTTATTAAATTCGAATTAAATTAAACTTGATCCGATCTGAATCTAATCCAAGTGTACTTGGCGCAATGGTATGTGTGGGCTAACCCTTATACATAAATAGATGACCATTATTAGTTGTAGGATAAGTTATGCACGGAGGAAGAAGAAAAGTGGCTGCAAGGGCAAAAAATTAAGCAATTACATAAGAATTTATTTATTTTTGGGTAAGTTACATAAGAATTTATTATTCTCTCTTTGCTATTGAAAAAAAAAATGGAACAAATTAAGCAATTACATAAGAATTTATTTATTTTTGGGTAAGTTACATAAGAATTTATTATTCTCTCTTTGCTATTGAAAAAACAAATGGAACAGTTATTTGGAAGTTGTTTCTTAAACCACTTTAATATACATCTCTGCAATTAATATTTAAGTGGTACGGAACTTTCAATTAATATTTAAGTGGTACGGAACTTTCTTTCATCTGAAAGCAGTTTCGCAAAGTGCCTAAGAGCTTCTTCATTAGTACCTTCTCCCTCAACGGCCTCAAACTGACCTGTTTCCATATTTATCCTCGACACTGGTTTCTTTAACAGATTCTCTCCAATCTTTACAAGCCCTTCCAGATTCTCCTTCGTTGCAATATCAACAGAGGATAAGTTACCGCTCAACGTGTCATCCTGTCCATCCACGTTATAAGAAATTATTAGCATACGATAGTGATGATCGAAAGCCACTGAATCGGTACTTTAGACTTGGAATTGGAGAAAATTTAGTACAAATTTTGAACTAAAATTCTTCAATCCTAAACCCAAGACACTGATTCGATACTCTCAAACATAACATAAATGTGTGTTCGGTTGCATAGAATTGTAGTTTTGAAATTAGAATTGGTGGAATTCGAAAAAAATAATTAAAAAATTTGAACAAAAAAATTCTCAAATTCTACCGATTCTAATATAAAGGCTCTAATTCTATGCAATCGAACACACAATAATATAATTCTACATGTGATCTCGCAATGGCAGGAAACTCGTATATACTTAGACTAGCTATTTATTTACTTCTTAATATATACCTGAATGCGAAGGTAGTTGTTCTGGGCATGCAGGGCTTGGAAGAGAGTTGAGACATGGATGTCAACCATATCAGAGCTCGCGTCGCTATAAACGTCAATCAATGGTGTTGCACCATCGTCATAAACCCAACTGAGCAATCCCCACCCGGAGGCTATGGTTGCATTGTACTTCTCTTCTCGCTTGGCTGTACCGGTGCCCAATGAAAGGACTAGCATCCTCCTGGTTTCCGTCGGTTCCATGTCAACGAATTCATAGTTACCCAATAATATTTCTTTTGTGATGTGGCTTATTGCCATTAGGGTCTGCAAATTCAATCAGCATAAGTAATTTGTTAGTAACCAAACATAGTTTGATCTAAATCTGCAAAATGTGAGACATTCAATTGCTTTTCAAATTTATCAAATTAGCTGCTCACTGGATTATTTGCAGCAACCCCACCATCGATGAGATCAAAAGTGCGCGTCTTTCCCTCAGCATCCTTAGTCTCGAAGTAGTGTGCTGGGAAATAGGTAGGGGCTGCAGAGGTGCTGAGGCAGATATCCGATAGCAGGGCATTCTTGGAAACATTCATTTTGCCCTGTATATTGTTTCAAATGTATTATTAGGAAAATTAATGTAGCTTTTCACATTTGTAGCTAGAAAACCCAAAATGGGCAAATTAATATTCACAAGTTTCTTACATTACTGGTGGTGAAGATAATTGGCTGGAGGTGTTTGATATCAAAAGCTGGTATGACCACATTTGTTAGGGTCTGGTTGATAGTAAGGTTACCTAGTATCTCCTTTACTATTGATTTTAAGTACTTCCCATCATACTTTGGCCCTGAGACCGCGCCAATCAAACCTGTCACCTTGTCCACGAAGCTGTTGCGACTATTCAGAGAAACACCCATCAATGATTCATCCAACATATATAGCACATATATAATAAACAGCACTTAAAAGTTTAAGCTTCTATATTTTTTATTCACCTGCTCTGAGGGAAGATCTCGGGGGCGTGTTGTAAGTAGAAATTGTTGATGTCCTTTGCAGCATACAGAGGCCGGTTGCTCTTGTCGGGAGCTGCAAGCATGGTGGTGACAAGCCCGCCAGTGCTAGTCCCAGCAATTACATCGAAATAATCTGCAATTCTTGCACTAGGTCCATCAAGTTCCTAGCAATTAATCAAATCAGATATGAACAAAAATAAGTATTAATTAATACAATGAAAAAACAGAAAATAGGTGAAAAGGGTGAACATATATATATGTTCGATGAAGTACTACCTGAAGCCTTGATTCAAGATTAGCGAGGAGGGTACCGGGAATGATGCCTCTAATGCCACCTCCATCTATGCTCAGCACCGTCACTATCTTTCTTTTGGTCAATCCAGAAGCTATTTGAGGTTGTAGAAAGTGAAGGGTTGTTAGGAAACAGATTGCAATGAAGAGAGTTTTTTTTTCCATATTATATATGAGGATTGTTCGTACACACTCGAGGATATTTATAACAAGAAATGAAGCAAAAAATATTTTTGTTTATATACGTGTGTGTGTGGCTAACTTTTTTTTTTCTTTTTCATAAGCGTGTGTCAACTATTCTAACTTTGATCATTCGTTTGGGACTCCATCATTGATTTTGTCAACTATTCTCTCCTTCTAGTTTTTTTTTTTTTTTTTTTATTTTTTTTTTTAATATATATATATATATATATATATACACACACACACACTATTCTCTCCTATTTGAATTATCTCGTATTTGAATCGCATTGGAAATCTTTAGGTAGATTATCTTCAACTAGACCTTAATTTCGTTTTTTCCATTTTTTTTTTCTTCTCTCTTTTCCTCGCTCTCCTATTTGATGGCTATGGGGTTCACATCTCTGCAGCTCTGTTTATCTGCACCATAAATTAGAGTCAGGACAGGTCGACGTATTGTCTGTAGTCTCAAATATATTATTGCCTTCACATTATTGAGCTACCTTAAAATAAATATAAATATAAATATAAATATAAAAAATGATATATGTTCACTGTTTGGCCCAAAATTTCATAGCTACATCATAACAAAAGGAAAATAAAAGAAGAAACTAGGATTTGAAGTCAGCCTAACAAAAGCAAAAGTCATTTAATCCTTATATATTATTTCAACGGGTTGAATACTATCACATACGAGTTTGACAGCCACATATAATAATCCTTATATATTACTTCAACAGGTTGAATAATTATGGTCATATAAAAATGTTATTATATATCCAATGTAATTCGTATTATTCTTAGACCTAGAAATGACTAAACACGTACGATTAGTTGGTTATATAAAATATATATTATATATATATAAATTGATATCACTGTATATCATGCATGGTGTGTGAAGCCGCCTGGAGGACCCTAGTGTTTATTTATTTATTATTCATGGTTTGAAGCTCTCCAGAGACCCTACAATTTTATTTTATTTTATTTTATTTTTGTTTTTGTTTTTTTATTAGGCGGTAAAGTCATGTTCATGGCCATGGACCAACTCATAGTGGTCTAGAATTCAGCAGCCATCACATCCATAGACATAATATTTGAAATTTCTTCTTAGAACAGTCAGCGCAGACGTCTGTTGATCCTTCTACTACTACTTTTCTATTTCTCTTTGGGAAAGGACGACTGACCATGCATTATAGAACAGGCCATGCAATGAAGTGGGGGAGGATTTACCATCTTGCACACGATGTTGGTGTTAGATGTAAAACAATCTCACGTAACGGTGATAATTGGGTCATCATCGGGTGAGTTTAGACAAATTTTGAATTGATCATAAACAAGCGACTCAGTAATAGGTCAATAATCAAGCCATTATCAACCCATTCATGATTGGTAATAAATGAGTTGGGTATTAAATGGAAAAAAAAAAAGAAAAAAAGAATTATTAGTGTAGTAGTTTTTTATTCACTTTTTGGTATTACAAATTTTTTTTTTTTTTTTTGGTATACAATTTACTCTGCTAATAATATTAATTATATATATATATATATATATTTTAAAAAAAGAAGCTTTGAAGGTTATAAGTAGTAGTTTTAATTAGTTGCTTCATATTTATTTTTTTTATATTTAATAATTAGAGGGATAGATATTCAGTTTTTATTTTTTTTGAAATATTTAAGCATTTGTTAATAAAAGTCAACCCATTCCATAGGTAGAAACAAAAATAAATAAATAAGAACATCGTCCCAATAAAGAGAAACCGAGATGAGAGGGAAAAATAGAGAGAAACAACGTATGAAAAGAAAAAAAAAAAAAAAAAAGCCCAGTAGAGAGAGAAACCGAGATGAGAGGGAAAAAGAGAAGAGGCAGAAAAAGTCACTTATCTAAGTAAATGTATATATATATATATATATATATAGGGGCTTTGACAGGTAACATAAGAAAATTTTACCAAAAAAACAAAAAAAAAAGTTCATGTAGCAAATTTCCATTAATTTAATGGTTTTCAGCATTATAATTTTTTTTCTTTTTTTTCTTTTTAATTCGAAAAAGTCACTTATATATATACAAATATATAAAGGGGCTTTGACATGCAGATAAGAGAGTGAAAAAAATAGGGGAGCGCCGAAAAAAAAAAAAAAAAATAGGAGAGAGAAGCAGTTAGAGTGAGAATATATTAGGTGGTCTGGTGTGGACCAATAAAAAAAATGAATAAATATTTATGTAAACCCCGTACCTTTTTAACTTTTCTTTTTTAAATTTGTCTCTTTACAAGTCCAATTCCCTTTCAAAGAGAATTTTGTCTGAGCGACTTAAGATGGGTGCCCACTATAAATTTATTATTGACTATTAAATTAAATGGGTATTCATTTTTATTCCTTATTAATTCACTTACTTAAATTTGAGTACCGAATGAATTTAGATGATTTAATAGATTTACTATTACCGAATTGTGTTTGCATGATTGTGATTGTACTTAGCATCACTCGCAGTACTTGTCATGATTCACCGAACTCAAAAACTGGGGTTTTATTAAAAATGGGTAATTTACACAGGCCTCTCCTATGCTTTGCTATAATTATAAGCGGCATCTTTTCTGTTCCGAAAATTACGCGAACGTCCCCTACTTTTTAAAATATCCTACATGGACCTCTCTTATGTGTGACGGACCGTTAAATACACTAACGGACCCGTCAAAATTACTGAAATACCCTCTCCTTGGCATCTGAAATTACTAAACTACCCATCAACTTTTAATTAAAAAAATATATATTCTGCTCAATCTTTCCACTGCCATCTCCTCCCACTGCCGGCAACTTCTTTCGCCACTTCCGCCACCTCCTTCCACCGCGGTCCCCGTCACCACCAACACAGAGACAATCTTGGCTAACCAAGCCCAAAGGAAAAGTTTCTTTGTTGCAGCCGTTTCAACTCACTATCAGACCTTATTCGCCGCCGTACAGCATCGCTATCCTGAGCACATCCATATATATATATATCTTCAAGAGAGACGAATGAAGATCGAAGCTTTTTGTTTTTGGTCCATGAACAACACAGCTCTACATCCGGTCGGTTTGGTTGTGTTGTTTTTCGATTTGGCTCTCTGTTTGGTCTGAACGGGAACTGAAACACGCCGGACCGGTACTCACTACTAGGTCAAACCAAGCTTACCGAAAGAGGTTGGACAAAGCTCGCCGTTTGTTCACCGGAGTCACATGCATGTCTTGTAACTCACTGGATGGTCACCAAAATGGGTCTCATTGTTATGGGTTTTGCTGAAATTGCAGCTTGCTGGATTTCTGTCACCGGAACTGTTGTTCGCCTTAACTAAGACATGTTGGGGTTGTTCGGTCTTTGATTGCAGCTCGCCGGACTTGTTGCAGAATGAAGATCACCGGAAAAGCTGAATATTTCTGAACTAGAAATGCGCTGGTTCAATCACCGTCACCGGAGCTAGTAGTTGTAGTTTTGGAGCTTGCGGTTGTGTCCCCTTCATCGAAATGGGTATGTCTTCAGTCTTCGCCGGAGTTCGCACCAACAAAAGTACACTGAAGATGAAGCTTTCTCTATATTTGCACAAACGGGAGATCACTGGAATCATGGTTCATCTGAACTGAAACTTGGGTGTGTCACCAGTTGCTATTGGGTCTTCAATCAGTCCGCTGATTCATCTGAACTGAATCATGGTTCATCTGAACATCTGAAAATTCTTGTTGTCTTGAATTTGAAGAATTGCCATAATCTTTAGAAGATTCCTAGCTCTGTGCATTTTCACGTTGAATTCTCTTTTTGATTTCAGTCAATCCGGCTGCTCCAAATTAGAGTGGCCAACATTTTTTCAAGGATCCCCACTTGAATTAAGCTTTTCGTCGTTACAGTTATCAATTAGCATTAGGGAATTGAATATGGAAGACTGCAATATAACATATGTGCCCAGCAAAATTGGTTGTTTGGTGTCCTTGGAATTTTTGAATCTTAGCAAAAACAAAATTTCTAACCTACCAGCTACCATAAGTAGCCTTCTGCTCCTGAAGGTCCTCTCTGTAAGTAAATGTACTTGGCTCGAATCGATTCCAGTGTTTCCAATAAATTTTTTGACATTGCATGCAAACCACTGCACATCATTGCAAAGCATAAAAATAGAATCAAAATAAGCAGAAACATCATTGAGAAGTTTTTACCATTGTCCAAACAGTTCTGCATATAAATTTAGTAGAAATTTACTCCGTTATCAAGTATGCTACACTCCGTCTCTGTTACAGAGAATTATGGTTTTTTTTTTTTGTTTCTTAACGGCGGTGAGGGTTTGGTTTTCTCAGCGAGCAAAAATGAAGGATGGCCATAAATAATCAAATCATTTAAAACCAATATGCCCCTAAACCACTTCTCTTCATACCTTGAAAAATCAATTTTGGGTTTGTGTTTAGCCCTATTATGTAATCAATTATATATATATATATATATATATATATATATATATATATCAATTGGTAGGGATAAGGGTATTTTAGGCATTTCATGAAAATAGTTGCTGACGTCATCATTTTCCGTCGTTGACTGGCGTTGATTGTAACGGAAGGGAGGTCCGTGTAGGATATTTTAAAAAGTAGGAGAGATCCGCTTAATTTCCGAAACAGAAAGGGTGCCGCCTGTAATTATAGCAAACCATAAGGGAAGTCTGTGTAAATTACTTTATTAAAAATTGAAGGGGCGAAGAAAGATTTGAATCTGATTGCTTCCAGGGGGAAAGGGAAGAGTATTACCACTTGTGCGACTTATTTTAATGCCCACTATAAGTGAAATAATTTTATTTAATCAATAACTTCAGTTTTTTTTTTTTTTTTTTTTTTTTTTTTTTTTAAATTGTGGTGAACTCACAACCTTTCACTTTGAAAAGTGAGGAAACTATTATTAAGCTACATTGGTGATTTGCCAAAGAAGGATTAATTGCAGAAATTTTAAGTAATAGATAAATGAATCAAATTATGTTAAATGGATTAACTTTGGAGTTTTATTTATATATTGTTGAGTCTTTAACATCAAAGTATTTCTTTAAGGGCTTATAAACTGAGCTAAGAGTTATTAATCGTTAATGTGAGGCTTCTTTGAATTA